CGATTATTGTTTGTAAAACATACAATGGATTGGAGGTAGCAAGGATTGAAAGTAACTCGATCAAAAAAAATATAAATTCATTTTTTACAAATTCTATTATCCATTAGAGATGGACAATCATCCATCATTTAACCATTTAATAATATCAGCTAAAATATTTTTGATGGCTGCGTACAATAGTCCATCGTTTTAAACAATAGTATGTAATATTTTTATCTATAACCAGTTAGAAATACTAACCAGATGGCAACAATCAATACAATAATAATTGTTTTTGATATATTTATTGTTTTCCTTTTTGGTCGTATAACAATAATTAGTCATTTAATTATAGCTTTTTGATGTTATTAAATTTTTTTTAACAAATGAATAGGGAAATGAAATAAATAAACAGTTCTTATGTCTGATCATTAACCCTTCTATTTTTTTTAAACATAATATAAGTTGGTAGTAATGTTATCTCAAACAATCTAGTGTTCGAGTAATAATAGCCACTGTTTTTAAGATGTAGTAGTTGGTGTTATTGACTTATTATATTTGAACTTGTATATTTTCAAAGACATCATACCTTCAAAAGATTGGTGGTTTCTTTATTGATCCAAAAAAGAAAAGTTTATTGTTATCCTTGAAGTGTCATTGCTAAAAAGATAGATAGTTGAAAGGATAATCCAACACCTGAACTCAACATGTTAGATTTAATATATTAATCTAAAAGATCCAATTATTTATTTATTGGAAAATTTCGAATGGGTTAATGTTGGTTTCCTAACTATAGAGTTTCGAAACTGTGCGAAGGTCAGTAGGTTTCACTATAAGTCAAAACTGGTTTCGACTTTTGACTTTTGACATATAACTATTAATTTTAGTTTTGACTTTCGACTCTTCAGAACAGTTTTTGCAACCAAAACTAATGGGGGAAATCAAGGAAAGAGAGAGTGTGTGTGTGTGGAAGAGGGAATACTTTTTTTCTTTTAAAATTGGTCCCTTCAATTTATTTATTTATATAAGAATACAACAAAATCAACTGCTTTTATTGTTTCATTAATACAAAAAAGGCCAGAAACTGAAATTGTGTCTTTTAGAGACTATTTAAAAATTTTAAGAATTTTTGGAGAAAAGAAGAATAATAAATGATCTTTGTAAATACTTTTTTTTTTATCAATTAGTTGAAAAACTTCTAATTTATCAAAATTACTAATACGCGTCATATTGATACTTTTATAAGTCATTGGGTTACAACCAACCCTGCCATTTATACAAAACCATACATCATGAAAACCAAATAAAGGTAAACTAATAAAAGAACATTGAACTGTAAACATACTTTTTTTCTTGATAATATAACTGAATTGAGCAGTATTGATGTCTTCTTTCCTATCACTTATATTAAATATAAAACTTTCTGTTGCATTTTTATATTCATATCCAATCAAGTGGATATTATAACCATCAACTATGAATTTTGTATTTTGCCAACTACAAGAGTTTTGTTGATATTACCACATTGTTGATGAAATATAGCAGTATTTAAACCATCCCTGCTACTACGATATAGAAGTTTGAATTCATATTTGACTTCCCTGAATGAGGTATATGGTGGACTTTTTCTATCAATCCAACTTGCAA